TGATCTACTTCTGAAAAGCAGGTAATGAAACTTTACAGATCACAACAATCTGATCCATAACCAATCATAAGGATGGGCAGTGTTGCATTCCATTCTGCCTAGGGTTGCCAGAGTCAAGGGTCAACAATCTTCTGACAGGTATAACGTGTAACCGAATTAGTTTCTAATTTCTGTTAGAAAACAATCACCACAAACTTAGTAGTTTAAAACAACACAGATTTATTATTTTGCAGTTTAGGGATGAGAAGTCCAAACTTGGGTCTTGTAAGGCAAAAATCAAAATGTCAGCACAGCTGCATTCCTTTTGAAGGCTCTAGGGAAGAATATGTTTCCTTGAGTTTTCCAGTCCCTAGAAATTGCCCACATTCCTTGGTTCACTGGCCCTCTTCCACCTTCAAAGCCAGAAATGGCCAATCATGTCCTTCTCATGCTGCATCACTGTAACTCTGATCTTCTGCCTCCCTCTTATAAGGACCCTTGTGATTACACTGGGCCTAACTTATCACCATCTCAAAATCCTTAATCCTTAATTTAATCACAGCTACAAAGTGCCTTTGGCTACTTAAGGTAAAATATTCACAGGTTCCAGAGATTAGAAAGGACATTTTTGGAGACCATTATTCATCATACTACATCCATGCAACGAGAAATAACTCTCAATTAGCCAGAAGTCTACAAAAGATATGGCTAATTTTTTTTTTTAATTTTTATCATACCTCAACACCAAATATCTCACTAATTGTACCTCTGCATGGTACATCTCTTTCTCTGTGACCTTTCACTGTTGTTATTAAGTGCCACCGAGTAGGTTCCAACTCATAGCAACCCTATATACAACAGAACAAAACACTGCCCTGCCCTGCGCCATCCTCACAATCATTGTTATGTTTGAGCTTACTATTGCAGCCACTATGTTAATACATCTCATTGAGGGTCTTCCTTTTGTTCACTGACCCTCTATTTTACCAAACACGATGTCCTTTTCCAGGTGCTGTTCCCTCCTGATAACACGTTCAAATGAAGTCTCTCCATTCTTGCTTCTAAGAAGTGTTCTCACTGCACTTCTTCCAAGATAGATTTGTTCATTCTTCTGGCCAACCCAAAAAAAACCAAACCCACTGCCATCAAGTTGTTTCCGACTCATAGCAACCCCTCCTTGGGTTTCCGAGGCCAAATCTCTGAGAGTAAATTGCCCAATCTTCCTTCCAAGGCTGGTGGGTTTGAATCGCCAGCCTTCTGGTTAGCAGTCAAATGCCTTAGGTACTATGCCACCTATTTTTTGCCAATACCATAATTCAAAGGCATCAATTCTTCAGACTTCTTTATTCATTGTTCAGCCTGGACATGCATATGAGGCTATTGGAAATATTATGGCTTGTATCAGGTACATCTTAGTCCTCAAAGTGACATCTTTGCTTTTTAACACTTTAAAGAGGCCTTTTGCTGCAGATTTGCCCAATGCAGTAAGTCGTTTGATCTCCTGACTGCTGTTTCCATGAGCTTTTCACTACTTAGTCCAAATATCTGTCAAATGAAAGAAAATGAAAAGGATAAACAATCATTCTAAGTAAAGGTGAAATCATCAAGGAACACAGATTTTAAAAAATCAAAGTTCCTTTTTTAAAATATATTTAAAAAAAAAAAATTATTGAGATCAACCCTGAGAGACCAAAAGGGTAGAATTTGTACAGAGATAGCTCAGAGGACAGGAATGCATAGGAAAGAAGGACACAGGGAAAAGGTAACCACAGGGGAAAGAGAGCTGTTACATTGTGAGGATTGCAATCAACATCCTGAAACAAATGTGTATGAAGTGTTGAATGAAAAACTAATTTGCTCTGTAAACTTTCACCCAAATCAAAATTTAAAAACAAAAGAAAACACCTCGTATTGAGAGACTTCTAAACAGAAAAAGCACATTCCCAGCTCAGTGGGGTAGGAGAGGGAAAAGGCAGTGGGAAGCATGAGTCAGAAACCCTCCCTGACCTTGTAGGACCTTAAAATCTCAACAGCGGGCATCCCATTTTAGTAATAATACAAGGAAAGGAAGCAGGGAAGGGAAATAATACCACTTGAAGAGAGTAAGGCAATGGGAAATAGCTAGCCACCAACTCCAGGTGAAACATCACCATCACGGGTTATGCAGATTTCTATCCCAAACTCCATGTCCCTTTTACAGACCTATCTACCTCAACTTTAGTTGCATATAGATCAGAAATTTATTTTCCTAAATTCAATACTGCTTACAAGGTGTCTTAGGCTGGGTCCTCTAGAGAAGCAAAACCAGTGAAACTTATGTATGTGTGTATAGAGACAGATTTTATCTCAAGGAAACGGATCACACAGTTGTAGAGACTGGCAAGACCCAAGTCCATGTGTCAGATGTCAGCTGAAGGCTTCTCCCAATTCATATAGCCACAGGTACTGATGAACCCAAAACTGGCAGGTCAGACAGCAGGGTGCTGGCTCAAGTCCCAAGAACCAGAGGTCCCATGATGAGAACTAGATGCAGGATCCAGAGCAAGCAAAAAGCTTAAGAGCCCTAACCTGAGGGTAAAAATAGTATCAAGAGTGAGCCAGTCCCCATGATATTGCTATACATTGCAGATTTTCAGGATAGAAACTAGAAGTTGGCTTGGGGTCCCATCAAATATTTCCCATCATCAATTCTTCATTGAACATTTGTTCAGCTCCCTGTAATGACTCCCAACACACTGCTTAATGGAGGCTTTAGTAACTTAAGATGAAGGCATTCAGGTATCCTCTGCAATGGTAGAGGCAGGTCCAACCTCCTTCTCCCAACAGAAGCTGTGGACAAAAACTCTTCAAAAGGTTGGGATCTTACTTCTTCAGCTGCCTCTCAGAACACTGTTTGGGATCACCTCCCCTGACAAACTGACTACAGTCACTACCAACACTTCCTCAGGGGTCAACTTAAACTCTCATCAGAGTTACTACCAGTACTGGCTCAGCCAGAATACTCAGTTCCATACTAAGCACCTTCCCTGGAAGCTCTATTGGACACTCAGAACAAGCCAGCATATGAAGGGGTATGATGGCTATGCAGGCATAGGAGGTTATAGGTGTAAGGGGGTGCATTGTCTGTAAAGAACTTAAAAACAGTAATAAAACCTGCTAAATGTCAATCTGATTTTTATGATCATCTTGCACAGCAATTCTAAAAATGTTAGTGATATAATTACACCTTCCCCAAAAAATCTTTTGCTAGTCAAAGTTCTAAGCACTTTTTATGGTTATTGTTGAGTTATAATAACATACATGCAGTTTCAAATTATCACTTATTTTTTAAAACTTATCCACTAAAAAATATTTTATTCTACATGGAAGGAAATGTGGAGCACTACCAGTTATACAATCAAATTCAGCTATATTTTATTTGATGGTAAATTCATAACAATTTGTAATCTTTCAAGCTCACTTCAGGTACATTTTGTGTCTCCAACTCCTGTGGTATGACATATTCCTGCTTTTAAAATAGTAGACTTAAATAATATTCTATAGGATTTTTTTTTTAATGTGAAGTTTCAAATAAGGGCAATCAGACACAAAAATATTTTCAAAGAGCCAGAATAAGTCTTGAACAATGTACAATAAAACACCAAGGTTAAGATGAAGTGAACTGGAGAAATCTTTTTTTAATAACTTAAAGTAGTGAAAGGTTACAGAGAAAGAAATGTACCAGGCAGAAGTACAATTATTTGGTGTTGAGTTGTGATGAACTAAGAAGCAGTGTCCTTCATGTGAAAGAAATTTTTCAAAATTAAAATTTATAAAAAGTGTTCTTTGGTCACCTATGTGTCAAGACAAGGTGACAAATCTAACTATACTTTCTGCTGAATATGAACATGTGAAGAGGAGGAATTTTGAAAGTCATCGACAAATTTGCAGACTATGGTCGCATGATCCTTTGAAGCAAGTATGGGGAGACATCAGTTCGCTTACTGTGGACATAGCATCAGGAAAGACCAATCACTAGAAGAGTATATGTTTGATAAACGAGAGCCTCAAGGAAAACCCTCCATGAGCTGGACTGACAAAAACAGCCTCAACAATGGACTCAATATATCAAAGACGATGGCACAAAACTGGGAAATATTTTGATGGCAACTAACAAGAAGGCTTGCAAAAATTAACTATAGTTTTCATTCATTACTTCAACACAATTTTTTTTTCAAAACTACGTAGATGTAACTTAAAAGTATTAATCCATTAGTTTTTCTTTCAGTACTGTAATTTTTCTTTAACTGGGATAATTACATGTACTTAGCCTAAGGCATTTGACTGCTAACCAGAAAGCTGGCGGTTCAAACCCACCAGCCACTCCTCGCAAGGAAGGTTAGGCAATCTTCCTCCGTTGTGATATCGCCTCGGAAACCCAAGAAGGGGATCCGACTCGACGGCAGTGAGTCTGGTTTTTTGGTTTGAGTTCAAGAAAAGAAAATTCTCACTATCTGCATTCTTTTCTGGGAACCATTATTATACGTTTTCGGAAAAAAAAAAAATATTTTAAAAATGATGCGCTCACACACGCCAGTTCGCTACTGCCCCGAACCAGGCAAGGTGTCCACTTTGGGAGCCCAGAGGACCCCAGGCGCCTTTCCCCTCGGATACTCACTTTCCCAGCAGGCTCCGCGGCGGAGAGTCCCAGCACCCTAAGTGTCACTAGACAGCTAGCGCAGCACAAAAGAAACCTAAAGGGTGGCTTATTCCACACTAGGGGGCGCCTCGTTCCTCCGTCAGGGCAAGGAGTACTAGTGGGCCCAGAGACTCACCCAGGCCACCAGCTCTGGAAAAGGTTAACACCCCTTCTCCGCCCTCCCCCAGGTTGCCAACGAGGCAGTGTCTGATGCTCATGCGCAAACACGTTTACCACGCACCTGGCTACAGCGCATGCGTCCTCTGAAATTCGCGTTTCCAGCTAGTCTATTCTGAAGAATTTCCAGTTCCGGCCTTAAAGGGGGCGGGGAGAAGCTCGGAAGATGAGGTTGTCAGTCGCAGCCGCCATCTCCCATGGCCGCGTGTTCCGCCGCTTGGGCCTTGGTCCTGAATCCCGTATTCACCTGTTGCGAAACTTGCTTACGGGACTGGTGCGGCACGAACGCATCGAGGCGTCATGGGCGCGCGTGGACGAGATGAGAGGCTATGCGGAGAAGGTGAAGGGTGGGGCTACGCAAGGTGGTGGCGGACGGAAACCCCTAGACCACCGCGCGGGTCTGGCCTCAGGGGGGCGGGATCCCTCCGGATTTGGGGAGGGAATGGAACAGTCCGTGAGCCCTGCCCAAATTCTGAATCCTTTAGAACCCTGAGCTGAATCCACTTTTCCAATACCTCAAGTGGAGGTCTGGTTAAGGGTGGGTTAAATTAGATGCTTTGCTAATGGAATGGAGGGGTTGCATTGGAGCATTAGAGGAATAATTAAATTGGCGCCTCATTTCATGCTTGAATTGGATCGGTAATAATATGTTCTCGCAGCTCATCGACTATGGAAAGCTGGGAGACACCAACGAACGAGCTATGCGCATGGCTGACTTCTGGCTTACGGTGAGTTCCTCTTATCTGTCTCCTAAATTGCACTCTTTGCCTCCTTAGGGCGGGGATTTATTGGTGGAGGGGAATGTCAGAGTTAAGCTAGGGCACTTACTGCTGGGCGGGTATTGTGAACTAAATCAGAAATGTTCCTAAATTTGTTAAATTCGAATGTGAATCTGAATCTCCGCTACTGCTGTAACTCTTCCGTCTGTGTAACTTTGCCACTACCAGATTGAGGGTGGGGGGGTTGGATCTTATCTTTGGCCGTGGCTGAAAGTTAACTGCCTCTGCAATGGCTCTCTTCTTAATAACCCTTCCCTTCTAGGAGAAGGATTTGATCCCAAAGCTATTTAAAGTTCTGGCCCCTCGGTACCAAGCTCAACGTGGGGGCTACACGAGAATGCTGCAGATCCCAAATCGGAGTGAGCAAGATCGGGCCAAGATGGCAGTGATCGAGTATAAAGGAAACTGCCTCCCACCCCTGCCATTGCCTCGCAGAGACAGCAACCTTACAATCCTAAACCAACTGATCCAGGGGCTGCGCCAAGACCAGAAGAAGAAAGCTGGTATCCACAGCTCCCACACAACTAAAACACCAGGGATTTAGCTGGTACTGAAGTACCCTCTTCAGTGCCAAGTTCACAAGCCTTTGGAATTCTCTTAATCTCTGAGAAGAACTGAAGCTAGAGTTATAATACTTACTGGGGCCCAGCCCTTCTGGGGAGTCAGATGGCCCTCTTTCTGCAGAACAGATAAAACCTCTCATATGAGTATATGTAAATTGATTGTTATATTCTTCCCATGGAATTTCTGAAGAATGAGAACTATTCAAATGCTCCATCTACCTGAAATAGAAAATTCACCATTCATGTTTTTGGTTCTTAGATCTATGTTATGTTTGCCTAGAAGTTTTGTTTTTCTTATTGCCAGGTGGGGTATGTATCCTGTAATTCCAAACTGTCCCTTAAAGGTCATTGGGTTTTAACCTCTAGCATAGAGACTGAGTTACTGAGGTTTCTTAGAGAAAGATTACTTCCTGACGGGTGGGAAAGTGAATATCTAGAAGTAAACCTCTAACTGTGGTTTTCTAAGAACCTGTAGGAGACATTGCAACCATATTTCTATAGACAGGATCACATATTACCCTCGTGTCCTCCCCTCAAGGAGTGAATGGGCCTTGGAGGAAAGGATCTTAGAACTCAGATGTATCTCCTCCCCCATCCAGGGGCTGGAGGCATTCAGCAGAGGATGCCAGATTCCAGGATGAGTTCTTTCCTCTTGGAGGGAGGAGGGGGTTGAGGTGGGAAGATTAGGAAATTAAACCTCCTGGGAATTTCCTGGAAGTTTTTATTGTTAAACCTGGGCCTGACTGGGAACTCAGAAAAGGGAAATCCGGCTTCAGAATGGCCAGGGCATGTGAGAAGCAGAGAGCTCTTTTATAGTCACTAATTATTGTGAAACCAGGCTTAACCCAGGCAATCTGCCCAACTCTCAAGCTTAGAGGCTTGACTTGGTAGTTATAGGAAGACTTAAAAGAGGTGTTACCACTAGCTTGAACACTTGATAGCAGGGCCTGGCAGTTGCTGTATTCTTAGTATATTAGGAAGAAGAGGTTTTTTTCTTAGGCTGGGCCTTCAGAGTTTATTTTGTCTGAGATGTAAAGGTAGGGGTAAGGGATCAGTGGTCTTAAAGGTAAACAAGATCTTCAGTGACAGAATTGTTTCTGTGCCATTTTACCACAGCCGCTAACCTGACTCACCTGCTCCGAACAGTGTTCTCTTGTCTTACCCCCTCCTCTTCAGTTTATCCTTCACTCTACTGCCAGAAATTTGTTTCTGGCATATTTTGAGTGACATACAGGAGACACTCAAAACATCTGTTGAATAAACCTACAGTTCTGTGTACCAGAAATTTTATTAATCTAGTCTGTGAATTGCAGATTTTCATCTCAGTAGAATGTGCCCCCAAGTCCACCTAAGCACCTGTTATAAATTCCAAATCTTTTTACCTCATTTCTGAGGTTTTCTGTCTCGGGCTGCAGTTCATTTCCGCAGAGTTGACAGTGATGTTCACTCCCTTCTCAAGAGAAACACTCTAGCCTCAAGATCAATAACAGATAAGTCCTAGTATCCACAGCAGACACAACTAGATAAACCAGGGACTCTTTCCTTATACTTAGCTTCCACAGTTGAATACTGAGTTGGGTTGATTTTATTTGTACAACGTTTTTCTCAAATCCACAGTCACCTTTCTACTACCACAATCTGACATGAGGACACACCTATGCCAGCTTACTGCAGCAGCCTCCTAATTTGCCTCCCTCCACACTACAGCCATAGTGATAGAAATCTGATCATCTCAGTTCCTTGATCACCAGTGGCTCCTCATTTCTTGCATGCAGAATCTATCTTCCTTACCATGACTTCTGTCTCTGATCAGGCATTTGTCTGCTCATTATTTCCCTTGCCTTGAGGCTCCAGAAGCCTAGAAGTCCTTGTTTTGGCTGTTTGCTGTGCGTAGCTCCCCTTACCACTTTTTCTTCATACTGTCCCTACCACCTAGAGAGTACTTCCCCTTTTAGCTACCTAACTTTGGCATCTTCTGGGTGGTTACTCTGACCATCCCCATACCTAACTTCATTACTTTGTCGACCTAGGTGTCTCTACAATGCTTCCACAATACACTGAACTTACTGCATTGCATTACAGTGAGTGGTTCCCAGAAATAAACCAGATTCACCTAAAGCAGTCAGGGTATTTCCATTCTCTTGCACTGATGGGCTGAGGAATAGATAGGCCAAAACAAATTTGGGCCAGTGAGAATCCAGACTATATTCTGCATAACAGTAGGTAGTGTATAATTCTAAGGGTCACTGGGGAACTGACTAGGCTGAAGCTGACGCTAAGAATGTCTAATTAGAAAAACTGAAACTGAACCCTTGACAATTGTCAAAAGTATGGTGCCAAAAGCTCCCAAACTGGAATCCCAAGTATCTTGAATAATCTTTAGCTATTACTCCCATTTGAGCCTGGGTCTTCTGTTAATTGCCACCAAAAATAATCTGTTAGGTGCCTTCGGGTCAGCTCTATACATAGCAGCCCTATATACCAAAATAAAACGCTGCCCAATCCTATGGCATCCTCACGGGCTTTGCTAACTTGAGCCCGTTGTTGCAGCCACTGTGTCCATCTCATTGAGAGTCCTTTTTGACTGACACTCTGCTTTACCAAGCACGATGTCCTCCAGGGATTATTCCCTTCTGACAACATGGTCAAAGTTGGTGAGACAAAGTCTAGCCATTCTTGCTTCGAAGAAGCAATCCAACTGTACTTAATTTTTTCTGAGACACTTGTGTTTGTTCTTCTAGCAGTCCATGGTATTTTCAATATTAGCCAACACCATAATTCAAGTGTATCAGTCAATTCTTCAGTCTTCCTTATTCATTGTCCAACTTTCACCTGCATATGAGGTTACTGAAAATACCACAGCCTGGGTCAGGTGCACCTTAGTCTTCAAAGTGATTTCTTTGCTCCTTAAGGCTTTAAAGAGATCTTTTGCAGCAGATTTGTGCACCACAATATATTTGATTTCCTGACTGCTGCTTCCATGAGGGTTGATTGTGGGCCCAAGTAAAACGACTACTTGGCTTAAGCCCTGTTACCCACAGCAGACACAACTAGACAAACCAGGGACTCTTTCCTTATCCTTAGCTTCCACAGTTGAATTACAAGGTTGGGTTGGTTTTATTTCTATAATGTCTTTCACAAATCTGCAGTCACCTTTCTACTACCACAGGCTGACACTAGAACACATCTGTACCAGCTTACTGCAACGGCATCCTAATTTGCCTGCCTCCACACAACAGCCCTAGGGATAGACGCATTGTTTTCTCCATTTATTGTGATGTTGCTTATTGGTCCAGTTGTGAGGATTTTTGTTTTCTTTATGTTGATGTGTAATCCATATTGAAGACTATTCTCTGGTCTTCATCAGTAAGTGCTTCAAGTCATCTTTATTTTCAGCAAGCAAATGTTCATCTGCATATCACAGGTTGTTAATGAGTCTTCCTTCAGTCCTGATGCCGGTTTTTCATGTAGTCCAGCGTCTCAGATTATTTGCTCAGCATACAGATTGAGTAAGTATGGTAAAAGGATACAACCCTGACACACACCTTTCTGACTTGAAACCATGCAGTGTCCCCTTGTTCTATTTGAATGACCGCCTCTTGGTCTATGTACAGTTTCCTCATGAACACAATTAAGTGCTCTGGAATTCCCATTCTTTGCAATGTTACCCATAATGTGTTATGATCTACACAGTCAAATGCCTTTGCATAGTCAATAAATACAAGTCAACATCTTTCTGATTATTTCCTTTCAGCCAAGATCCATCTGACATCTGATACATTCTTTTATGTATCTTTGAACCTTCATACTAGCTTCTCTCAAATTTTTTTATGACCCACAGATCCAAAAACATTTTATATCAGGACATAATATTCACACATATGTAGTTAAACAAAATTTTTACAAAATGTTACTTTCAAAAATATGCTGCACATTATTATTTTTTTAACTCTATTTATAGTTCACTTTTTAAAAATGCTGTTCCTAATTTACTAAACTGATTTTACAATTCCTTAGTGGGTTCCAACCTGCTCTTTGAAAAACACTAATTTCAATCAGTGTTTTAGTTGCTCACCATTGCCCTCATTGGATATAATTCATACTTCTTAGTATGACACACAGGCCCTCTATAGCCTGTTCCCAACCACCTCCTCAGCCCCTTCTTCCATTGTCCCTTTACAGGAAACTACTTGTTACTCTGTGAAGATACATCTTTGGGTATGAAGTTCACCCTTTTATAGTATTTTCTCTCAAGACCTACCTGTCATTCAACTCTCACTTTCAAAATGTCATTTTTTTGAGGCATTCTCTAAACTGCACATCACCCTCCAATCTGGGCTAGATCCTCTCCTATGTGCTATCATAACCCACTGGATAGCATACACCTATCCAAAAATTTATCACACTGTACAATAATTGCCTGTGCCTAAGGCACTTGACTGCTAACCAGAAGGCTGCTGGTTCAATCCCACCAGTCACTCCTTGGAAGGACATTTGGGCAATCTACTTCCGTAGTGTACTGCCTTGGAAACCCAAGGAGGGGTCACATGAATTGAATCCGACTTGACGGCACATAACAACAACAACAATCACTCAACTGGACTTCTGAAGCCAGTGACTGAGACTCTATTCCTAGCATAGGGCTTGAAAAATTATGGATGATAGATAGTATGTGTATTAAAGGAGGAGTAAGCTACATGTTACCTGTGCAACATTCACCTCTAGCTGGGCTTAATAATAAGCATGGTACTATGTGCAGGGACAATGTTATGCTGCACTGCTGAGTATACCAAGGTGAAAGAAATAGACTTCTTCCTCTCCAGGGATTTACATGCTAACAGTGATTATCAAGAATGTAAGAATATCTCTTAATGCATTTCCCACACATTACATATTCTAATTTCCTGGAGTATTTTTAACCAACCTACAGATAGAAAACACATTTCCCAAGACACCCAAAAACTGGAATGATGCAGCTTTT